CCCCCGTCTCATCCTGTTTGGATTAGAGGCTGTCGGGGGGCCATTGCGCACACACAACCCACACACCTACACACACACACACACCACACACACACCCACAACAACACACACACACATCCAGCCCATCAGGTATTGGATTTACGGTTTAGTTTAGCTTGTTTCGTCTATACCGTCCAGCTCCTATGTGTCTATTTCGAAATCACCACAAAAACAGGGTACCCTTGCTTTTCTCACAGCCTACCCGGCTTGTATCTTTTGCCATCCCCAGCTTGCTCCACTGATGAAGCAAACAGCGAAATTCCTAAGCTCAGAATTTGGAAATCAGCAAGCAACGGTATAACCCCATGGATAAACATCCAATGGTAGATTCGTCGTAGATTAACTCTTAGTAGTGTCTACACACATCTCACACAACATCACACATCTCACACAGCACTCAACGTACACACACCTACACACACACACACACAAGATAAAGTTCAAAAGGCCCTCAGCTTGCTAGCTGGTAGTTGAGGGCAAAAAGTGAGTATACTAAATAATTTACTGGGATTGACAGGACCTCTGTGGAAACGTCATTCGTGGCAAAATACTTAAGAGACGATACACCGAGGAATAGGAGACGATCGAAATGATTTAAGAGACGAAAGCAATCGTCTCCTTTATTTAGGAGACGATTCAGTAGAGACATTCCAATTAGGAGACGAAAATTTCGAAATAGGAGATGATCCGAAAGATTTAGGAGACGATACCATACAGTTTACATGGTACACTTAGGAGACGATCCGTTGAGAATAGGAGACGATCCGTTGAAAATAGGAGACGTTTTAAGAGGAGACAAAAGATTTAGGAGACGATCCGTTTCGTCTCCTATTTTTAGGAGACGAAATCCATTAAATAGGAGACGATCAAAAGGATTTAGGAGACGAAAAGTAGCACCACTCGAGTTTTCACAGAGGTCCAGAGACAAGCCTTCAGGCTGGAGTTCTGGTGCCGAGTTGTGTGCAGCGACCGCGTAAATGTGCTGCGGAAGCTCACGTCGCCGCTTTCTCGCCATGGGGCTATCCTGGGCACCGACAGTAGCAACATCTTCTTCTTGGGCGGCAGTCGACATCGTCAGAATAAAGGTACAGTACCATGGTAGTTGATGATAATATATTGTTTGTTGTTGCTGTTGTGCGATTTGACTATCAAACTATTATTTTACCGCATCTACCAATTTATTCCTTTAACCCTAAATTTACTGCATCTACCTTTAAATCTGTCTGGCTGTGTGTGACAGGAAAAATGAGGCTGACGTCATTTCTAGAAGCGAAGCATGGATGAAAGATCCAATTTCCTCATCATGACTAAAAAAGCGTGCTTCCCATTGCCATTGCATTGCATGCTCATCACTCCTCTTGTTTGCTACCGTAGCTACCGATTAGTCACACAACAGCCAATGGTGCAAAGTAAAACAGCGTGTCGGTACTGTACAAGGCACAGCTCACCCTCGTTGCCGTGCCGTACCGCAAGTCTTTGTCGTTGGAATCGAATCAGTTCTGTTCGCTTTGACAGGAGGCTTCGCACAATATCCTGTCAAAAAAGATACTCCATCAAGGAAGCGAACCAGGGGAACAATCCAGTGATCCAGACCCTTCCAAAAGAAATCCATGACCACGATGCTACTGAATGCGATAGAGGCAACCTTGTTGCTCTACTGTATCAAGAGCTCACAGTACAAAGTTACAAATAAATAGAAATAGCACAACGTCTGACTCCTCCACCGCCGCCGAACCACGATGGAACCCAGCAAGGAGGGGGCTCCTCCAATATCCCCCGAAGAAAACAAAATAGAGCTACGTGTGGAGAAAGCCACCACGCAAGTTGTGGATGTGGGCATCCACCTACCTGCAGAAGCACCCACCAAGCGCCTCACCTTTTCCGAACAATGGACTCGGACCATCAATTCCTTTATGAAACCCATTCGTCGGGCACTCATTGTCTTGACCCGCCATGCCGCAAACCACCCCAAATCCTACGTGACGGCCATTATCGTCGTCAGTATCGGTCTGATGCTAGTTGGCCTGGCAACCAACTTTGAAGTCATTGCCGACGGTGACGTCTGGACACCCCAAGACACACGATCGGTTCAACACGGCGATTGGATTGACAGCGACGACTCGGGATTTCCCAAAGATCCTCGCATGTTGATGCTCATTGTCCATCGCAATGGCTTGAATATTGTGGGAGATGACCTGGCCCAGGAAGGCTTGACGCGCGTCTTTCAAGTCTTGGACACGCTCCGCACTACACCCGACTATCACGAACTATGTGCGCATCGCGACTATGTCCATCCCGTGACGGGGGAGGTGACGTGTGACATTGCGGGTGTGTCGGCGTTGTGGAATGACAATACGACTCTGTTTCACGAAACGGTAACGTCCAATGAAGATGCCATTGAATTTCTCTCCACCAAAACCCTTCCCAGTGGACGCAGTGTCAACTACGATCAGTTTATCGGATACAATGAATGTCGGGAAGAAGGCAATGGTGGCAAGTTGGTGCATTGTACCGACGGAGGTACATTGACCTCGGGACTTTCCTATATCACGATTGTGGGCTTGCCGGGAGAAGACCAAGTGGAGGATCAAGCCATGGACTTTGAAGAAAATCTCATCAACAATCTCAAGGAGATGCGGGACCAATGGGCGACAACCGAAGACAATGACTTTCAGCTAGAATTTCTGGCGTATCGATCCTTTGACGATGAAATGATGCGCAGCCTCAGTGCGGACTTTCGTGAGTCAGTGCTACCAGCCAGGGCTGGTTGCAACCCAAAAACGAAAATCTCACCACTCTTGTTTCTCTTGTTCAGCCCTCCTTCCTGTGGTCTTTGTTCTCATGTCCGTTCTCTGCTGCCTCATCTTTACTCGAAGAGACCCAGTCTTCTCCCGTGCCTGGTAGGTCCATCGTACCGTAGCTCCATTGCTGTACTGACTTTTGACTCGAACAGACTTTTGTACCAACGAGTTGCATTGTCTCCGACACAGGTTGGGATTTGGGGCGGTGGTCACAGTATTGATGGCAATCACGGCCTCCTTTGGGCTACTCTTTTGTATCGGAGTGCCGTTTACCAATCTTACTCCGATTCTTCCATTCATCATGTTTGGAGGTAAGCTTCGCCTTCAATGACTTGCCGACACACATCTACCGTACTGTGCCAATCTAACCGACCTATCTGCTGATCAATCATTCTCAGTGGGCTTGGACAACGCATTCATTATTTCAGGGGCGTTCACGCGCACAGACCATATGAAGCCAACGGTGAATCGAATCGAGGAGACCATTATTGATGTGGGCGGCACAATCATGTTAACTACTCTGACGGCAGCAGCCGCCTTTGCGCTCGGGATCCTCAGCAGCATTCCCGCTGTCCGCTACCTTGTCATGTATGCGTTCCCAACAATCCTAATCGGCTGGCTCTACCAGGTTACCTTCTTCATCAGCTTGATTGTCATTGATGAACAACGCATCAAGGACAACCGCAGAGACTGTTGCTTCTGCTGCAGCGACCAGTCTCCAGGATCACAAAGGCTTCATCTCGAACGGGACAGAAACCCAGGAAAACACTTTGCCGACCGAGCCATGGCTGCCTACACAAATGTCTTGCTAAGACCCAAGGTCAAGATTGCTGTTCTCGTGGCGTTTGCAGGATTGTTTGGCGTCATGACCTGGAGTACAACTCAGCTGAAGCAGTACTTTGACTTTACCGAAATCCTTCCCAAGGATTCGTACATCTTAGGCTGGTGGGACGCTTTGAAAGATCTTGGTGAAAACAATGGTGCGTACGTATACAAAGAGCCTAATGTGAGATGAATGCAATGCTCCAACTAATGCAGACGGGCCCTTCTCGCAGGTGTCACTGCTGGAATCTACTTTCGCGATGTCGATTTCTCCCTCAACACGACCCGTCAGGAGATGTACGGCTTTGTTCAGGAGCTAGTTGACATGCCTTATGCTGGAAGATACCCGACGTACAACTTTTGGCTTCTTGATTTCGACCAGTACGTTGCCGAGACGAATATATCCGGCTTGCCATTCAATGATCAACTCGCCCAGTTCCTGAGTGTGGGCAAGTACAAGGCGTACGATCAACATGTCGTCCTCGACCCAGCGACAGGAGACATGCTGGCTTCCCGCACGTCCCTGGCTTTTGACAACCATGATTACTCGGATGTCAAGGAAACTGTGGATGCCCTTGAGATGCAGGAGGAGATCAGTGCCAACCAAACGGTCAATCAAGGACGCAAAGATTGGGCTTTCTTCACCTGGGCCGAGGATTACTACATCTGGGAGGTAAGGAGTTTCGTGCGTTTGACTGTTCACAAGCGTACTTGTAGTCTCATGCCCTTCGCGACAGTTCTACCGAGTGTCACCCAAGGAACTTATCCTGACAACCCTTCTGGGCACAGCGTCTGTCTCGTTCCTGGCTCTTCTCTTTATTCCCCATTGGAGTGCTGCCCCGCTCGTGTTCTCGATGTTGGTGGTTCTGTACATTGACCTCATGGGATTCATTCAGCTGTGCGGTGTTTCTGTAGGCCCAGTCATGTATATTTCGATGGTCATGTCCATTGGTACGTTGCTGGTTTGCTCAACTGCAACTGTGGCTGGCTGGCTGGCTGATGGTTGGCTCACGACCTCGTGCCTGATTCTCGTCTTCCCTTTGCTTAGGACTCATGGTTGGTAAGTTCTGTGGGGCTGTCTTCAATGCTGGCTTTATCTGGCGCTAACCTCCTGACGCATTGATTCCGTCATTTACTTCACTCCTCCTTAGATTACGTGATGCATGTTACCTATCGCTACATGTAAGTTTCGAAGGCCTTCGTGGGCCGCGCAACGCATTGTTCTTGCTGACTGTGATGCTCTTGCTGCAGGGAGATTGACGCCATCGACCGCCAAGAAAAGACAAAGCAAGCCATGGAAACAATTGGGGCCAGTGTTATGGTGGGCGGGTTGACCACATGGCTTGGAGTCTTGCCGTTGGGATGGTCGTCCAGTGAAATCTTTTTCACAGTGTTTGTGGTGTTTTTTGGATTGGTGTTGTTTGGTCTGTTGCATGGACTGGTTTTGCTCCCCGTTATTTTGTCCCTGATTGGGCCGCAAGTGGTCATCCAAGACAGCCGTCATCATTTTTCAGCGCCTGTGGCGAGTTCGTCCAGAATTGCACTCCCTGAAGACACCCACAACAGTGAGGAGAAGAGTGGAAGCTTTGATCTACTTCATGTCGTTACTGAGGTGGAAGTGTAGCTGACGAGGTTGCTTGGTCATATATTCGTTCAATTCCAAAGCGAAATACATTCAACTTCAAAGCGAGATGCACACTAAAATACAGGTACACGTAACAACTCTCCTCCTGCACATGTAGGCGGATCAAAATGAAAGATGGCTTGCCTGGAAGTTGTCAATTGATCATTGGCTGGCTGGTAGCCTGCACATCAAATATTTGTATCCAGGGCACGTTTCTCCAGCCATGTACATCGACAAAAGACAATGAAAAGTACGAAGTGGGAGAGGCAAAGCTCCACATACTACGAAGATAGACAGGTCGGTACATCCGGATGCAGCAAGTAGATTGAACGAGAATAATATCTACTCTATGATTATAGTTCGTTCAAAGCCAGCCAAATCCAGCCACATATTAACCAGGTACTCCAAACTAGTCTTCAGCATTGCTGCTATACTTCACCAATGAGTCGGAGTCATCCAAACCGTATCCCCGGGATCTGCCTTACCACGAGATTGGCCAACCAAACTTATAAACCCTGCACCACATTATTTACGTAGTTCCCGCCTCCTTCTGTTGATCTGCTCATTGGTTTTCCTTCCCTGCCCGCTGGACCTTTACCAATGACTGACGGTACCCTTCACCCATACATGTAGTCCCCTCTAACCATCCTAGCAATTCATGTCTAGTTTACGTAGTCTACATACATGTAATTGGCCTTTTTGGATCTTCGCTAGCACGCAGAACGGATGGATCTTCGCGAACGACAGGGCCCGAGCGCCGGTACCGGTACCAGTACTACTAGCTAGATCTGGCTAGCTCGTACATCGTACCGGTCGCGGTACTATTGGTACGACTGTGCCGGTACTGATGGCTCTTCGCACACTGTACTAAATCGTAGATTCAATTCGAATCGAATCGATTCGATTATTCGGATCCTATGATGAGAATCCGCGAACCCCCAGAAGTACCGTCCGGTACTTTCCCACCCACTCGATCGTCCTCTCGCACCCCTTCCCATCCATCCTATCCAATCTATTTAGCATTTGTTTAGCTCCTACCCATAGTCCCCTCTAACCCATCGACCTCTTTCATAGTCCGCTCAACCGCATCGTAACCTCCCCGTTTGTAATAGTCCCCTCAACCCAGAGTAACCTCTTCCAGGAAGAGGAACAGGAATGCATTCAACACTTGGCAGAGCTAATATCGTATGAGAGAGTACTGATGTATTGTGGGACAGCACACTGAAAGTAACCAAACACATACTGGCTAGTACTAATGAAACGAAAGTGGTGACTTGGAAGAAATGAATCTGATTAAAGAGAGGGGAGATATAGTCGCTGAGTCAGGCGCAGCCGTATATAGCCAATGTCGGCCGACCACATTCACCGTTGGCATGGGTATCCGATAATCAATGACCAAGAAACTGATGACGAATTGGAGCTAATTGAGCTACATGTAGTTGCAAACTCGAAGAAACTAGCCACATCCAAAACAGAATATGACAACACATTGGCATCACCATCGGTGCCGCAGGATGCATTCCCAATGGCAATGTCATCAGGATACATTCCTCAAAGATTTGCCGATATAGTGTCACTCCCCCAGCCCCTCCCCGAAACCCAGTTGCCATCATCAAGTATCGGTATTCCCGTGGATAACTTCCAAAACCCTCCATCGAGCCTTCCTGGGGCTCATCATTGTTATGGTGGCTTTTCTCTTGGTCGTGTTGGCAACAGCACAATCCATCATGTCACAGCTAGTGGAGAGCAATCAGTGCATGTTGTCCGAGAAGATGTAATTCGAGCAGCGCTTGTGGATGGTGACAATGATGAAACTACCCTACTTCACAATCCAGATCCGATGCCATTAAACCCAAGATCAAGAGCGTATTGGAGGCAAGAATTGCTTCGTGCCCTTTCATTAGAAGTCAACATGGTTCTCTTTCTAATGGTTGTGTCACTCATTGTAGTTTTGGCAGTTTCCAACGATGGCCACAGCAGCAACAACAACCCCAATAGCCCATCAACAAACCAACAAAATGGGGCAATTCAAATTCCTGGAGTTCTGGAAGTAGCACCCACACACGCACCAACAACTTTCTTGGATTTGCTCAATCTGCCCCAATATACACTACAAGCGATGGAAAATTCCAGATCTCCTCAATCTAAGGCCTATCAATGGCTGGCGAACAGTTTCAACAATCAAAGCTCTACCCTAGTAAATGATTTGCCAAAATGGAGACTAAAGCAAAGGTTTGCCCTGGCCACGTTCTACTATTCGACAAGAGGAGAATACTGGGTGAAGAAGCATGGCTGGTTGGCCTGGGATGAGGACGAATGTACCTGGGAGCAAGTGTTTCTGAGCCAAAGGGACACTCGGGAATTCCACTGCAACAATATGGGAGAAATCAAAGAACTGTCATTTGAAAGGGCGAACAACCTCCATGGAACGATTCCACCTGAGCTATCGCTGCTGGGAGGAAGTTTTCAGGTTCTCAAATTTCATCAACAGTTGCAACTCGAAGGAACCATCCCAACCGAGGTTGGGCTGCTGACAAAATTGACACAGATCACCTTGGGTCTCACAAATATTGCTGGAACGCTGCCCACAGAGCTGGGTTATCTACAATGTCTTGACTTTCTCTTCAGTTTCAACAACCAAATCTCTGGGCAGATTCCTTCCGAAATTGGCAAGTTAGGCAAGCTATCGTCGTTGATTTTGGCTACTTTGAATCTATCAGGTAGGTCGTCTTTCTTCGAATGCAATTGGCTCCACCAGCAAAGATGCACACCCTCACTTTGTTCCCAACCAAGGTTCAGTGCCAGTTGAAATTTTCCAATTGCCTGGGCTGGTATCCCTTGTCATTGATGGGGGTCCAGATCTGAACACCGAATATGCCCTTCAAGATGTTTTTGGCAATGCGCAACAACTGGAAATGTTGTCCTTGTCATTCCAATCTTTTGGGGCAGACATGTCAATTCCATGTAAGGGTTTATTAATCATCAGAATGAACCTTGTTGTCTGGTTGCACTCAATGACTCTTTGTTTTCCACTTTTCTGCAACAGCTGAAATAGGCACAATGACGAAACTAACAAAACTGTTATTGTCGGCCAGCAATATTTTTGGCACTGTTCCAACGGAGCTTGGGATGTTGGAACAATTGGTAAGCTCTAAGGTTGTAACTCAATAGCTCTCTGTTGCCAGTGGAAGATCTTACAACCATTGCTATTCCTGGATGTAGACATCTCTTGGCTTGAATGAGAACGCAATCTCTGGATCATTTCCAAATGTGCTTATCGAGTTAACCAGTGCGTGCGGAAAACGATGTTGTGCCAAGCTCTCGCCGGCTCGCTCAAAGAATTCACCATTGCTTTCTTCTTTTCTCAGATCTGAAATACTTGCATGTTGACTCCAACAAGTTACATGGTCCACTCCCACCTAACCTATTTTCCATTCTTACTAACTTGGTAACCTTGCGAGCCCACAGCAACCATTTTTCTGGCATGATTCCAACTGAAGTGGGCCTACTGTCCAGCCTTCAGGTATTGGAACTGAAGAATACCGACCTGTCCGGCACAATGCCAACAGAGCTCCTTGCTTTGACAAATTTGACCCTTTTGGCACTCCAGAATACATCAGTGTCCGGCAGTATTCCAGAACAGCTATGTGACAAAATGTACCAGAAGAAATACCAATGCTTTGGACGTCCAACATGTCCACTGTTATCAGTCAAAACCAGTGCAACAGTGTGTGAGGGAACTGTTCTATGTGGATGTGATTGTGCCCCTTGTCCATGAGCGAGCTGCATTGCTAGAGTCAGCACTATTTTCAAGACTGGACAAACAGACCAAGGAAGGTTCTCAACTTTCTACGTACTGACCTGGCTGTCATCGGTACCGGCTTTTACCAACGTGTGCACAGGATTGACTTGGATGCTTGTCTCTGGGTCAAGGAAATGTTTTTGAAATGCCCGCACTTGCTTCCCTCGGCCGATCATAAGTGGCACAGTCGTACGCGGTGATCTCGGTGGACGTATACCAGGAAAGGAAGTACGGGAGTGTACGGTACTCGGGATCACAACGACAAAATTTCTTCACTCCATGGCGGAGCACTCGCTGCGTTGCAAGGACACGCCGAGACAAGCCAATTCACACTATCCTGGAATGCATCGGTATCAATCGTCGGCCAATTGATACACCCTTGTCGAACCAATTCGACCTGCCAGGCTGACAAAGTTGGAAGTGCTACAATCGACCTGGGACGCTCAACTGATTGAAAGGATCGAGACGTAGATCAAATTTGGACGACAACCACCCTTTCTAGCTGGCTAGCTAGAGTCAGCACTCATGAGTGAGCTGGCTAGTCATATTCGACTGGTAACACCCCCACACCCATCGGAAACACACCAACCCCCTACTGGTAACAGTGATCGGATCTCGGGTAACTGACACCCAACTGCCGCCAACTCCCTGGGAGAAACCTGGAATGCTGG